TTAACACACACACTAACATCAACAAAATGAAGTAAATAAGTGAAGATAGTCAAGTGCACACTCCAATTAAGTGCATTTTAAACAATTTGCACTTGCACTCATATATTGCCGTAGCTACAACATAGTCGATGGTCATTTTGCATATTACGGACGCTTTCATTAAACTCGGTGCACGCCGGTAACAGCTGTTACTTTTGCTTTTTGCTTGCAGCGCAAATTTCGTAATGCAGCAACTTCAACAAGTTTACAAATGAAAATTGCGAATTGAAAAATATGAAGTTGAAGTTGAAGTTGATGTAATATTTGCACTTGACTAAAGTAAAGTGTAAAATAAAATTTATCTTCTTAAAAAAAGCAACAAAAAAGCTTCAAAATTATAGAATCTAAATACAACACTGTAATATTAATTATTAAATCTTTTTGTGTAAATTCTGGATATTTAGCTCGAGGAAGAGTATATTACCTGATGAGTATCCGTTGTGTGCACGTCGTAAACGAGTTCCGAACGCTAACGGAACTCACAGCCACATGCAAACACCAAGCGTACTTAAGTCGCTTCCAAGTCTCACCGACGCATGCGTACATGAGCATTTTTTATGTGTAAGTGAACGCTGTGATGAGCGCACCGAAGAAAGTAAGAGTTGTGCATTTACATGATGTTTCTTGGATTTTCTTCGCTACTCCTATCGATCACTATAATTTTATAATCATAGCTTAGTTAACTTAATTAACCACAATTACCAACGATTAATTTAATTATAACTTACGCTGATTTTTCATACAGATATCATAAATCACTGTATAAGTTTATATTTTTGATATAAAAATGTAAAAATTTGCATTCGGTAAGTAATGGGCGAAATCACTTAATCACAATCAGCGCACTTGAAGATTTTTAATTCATTATCGCGACGCAGTGCGCAGGATTGCCGCAGGTATCTAGGTTAAACCGGCAATTAATTTACTTAATCAATGCGCGCCTCGGCGTTCGCGCCTCTCGCAAATCTTAATTTATTAATGTGCGAATGTGCGAAATGCAATCGGAATTTCAGTCGCCAACGAAAACAACAAATTGTAGTAGGCCAGTAGCCAGTGAGTAGTAAGTTGTTTAATATTCGAGGAGTGCTACTGGTCTTAAACTTGGATCTTGGTCTCGTTTGGTTGTTTACATTCTGGAAATTTTGCGCGTGCGATTTCGCCACTTTTCGAGCGTTTTGCGCATGCAAAACAGCTGGTTTTAAGGCCAAATAAAGCAATAATTGGATGTATTGGGTTGAGATTTGCTTCAATGTAAACAAGAACGATCAGGTTTAATCAAAACAAACATTAAATATTATTCCATGATTAAAATCCAGTTAAAAAACTTAATATTTTAAAATTTAAATACTCCTATAGATGGCGCTAATTGAAAATAATCTGTAGTTTAAGAACCAGCTAAACATTAGTATCTTGACACTATAAATTAAAGTTTTTATCCAAATTTCTAATTTCTACAAACATTTAAAAACATTTAATAATTCGAAAATAATTGCAATATCAATCAAAGCAAAAAAATTCCACACGACGCTAATTTATCCCCTTCTAATCGACTAAAAATCTAGTTGTACGAGTTATTAACATTATTAGCTATTTTATCCTACAATAGCATACACCTATGATTTATTACAACACTCGAGCCATAATACTTAATATTTATATTCTCGGCGCGATATTCTCGCTAATTTCACGAATTGTATCAATATATCACTATCGTGGCAATAACTTATTTAGACCACGCAATTTGTATGAGTAATGATGGAATTTTAAAATGTAACTAATACCAATACTAATAATAATATTTTAATTTTTAGTTTTTTTAATTTACACTTCACGGAATTTGTTTACTTTAGTTTACTTAAGACGCATTAAAAAAAACACTACAAGACATTAGAATGTTAAAACGTTGAAATGTCGTGTCTTAATTTTCGTATTAATTATGTTACTAAATTTAAGCGGAATTTCTTTTGCCGAATATAATTTATGGCGATAATTTAGAACGTGTTCCACATTTCGCTTAAGATGCATGCATTGGAAACTACACTGAAATATTGAAATTGAAACCGTGATCTAACAATTTAAAATTGGACCAAAACAAATAGAGAAAAAAAGATGAATGCGAATTCTCAAAGCATACTTAATCATGCGTGCCAAATTTTAGTTTAAGTAATAAATCTGGACATAAATAGTTTGAGCGTTAAATAGAACGCGTTGAAAGTTTAAAAATAAAAACACAAAAAGTTATGAATATTAAAATTATGTATGATTCATACAACTTTTTATATTTCTGATGAATTCATCGTTAGTAATTATTGTTATTATTCCAAGATACAATAAGTAAGCCAATGATTTTATGTCAAAATCGTGATCTTTATTTTCGTTTCTTTTTAAAATTATTTTATTTTATTTTTATGATTTTAACGTGTGTGTCCGATAAAAATCAATGAAAGTTGTTATGTACTCTTCTCGATCGCGCCGGTTTAGTTTACTTAAGTTAGTTGCATGTCTAATTTTGGTCAAAAGTTACTGATACTATTGAGGAATTGAAGTATGACTGACATGCTCAACTAGATTGACTCGATTAATTGAGTCTGGCCTGCTGTGTGTTCTGTTTAAGTCATTTTTTTATTCCGGTTAAGTCGATTTAAACACTACCTCAATTGATTCGGGCTAGACTAAGTTGAGTGATGATCTAACAGACTCAGTGGGGTCTGCGCACGCATTTGTACATTCGCTAGACTTGTTTTGCTAATAATCTAATTTTACACAAAATTAATTAATTTGTCACATATTACTAACAATACAATTCCTTACTTTACCCACAATTATTTTCTTTGTTTCATTATAGATGCATAATTAATTTAACAATACAATACGCTATAAAATTATTTATAAAAATATGACAAGATGTTAAAGTTATATAAGTTTATATCATCATAAATTTAAATCAATGAATAGTTAATAAACAATAATGTGAGATAATAATGGTTTCGAACCTGACTATACATACTACTAAAATAATACATAAATGTTAAAATAAAGGAAGTTTTATGTTGGATGTTAAATGTGTTACAACAGGCGACGAACGACTTAGCTACACTTTGAGTAAGTGCCTCGTGCATATTGGCGTGGTAGATGTTAAAGTTAAAGCCATAGTGTGGCATGCAAACACAAGCACAAAGCACGATGACTTCCTATTTCCGATATTACGTTATGTCTCTCGCTGCCGCACGTCGCACGCGAAACGTAAAACCAGCGGCGCTAATGACGCGTTCAAATACACTGCACGCCGTGCAGAAAGTAAGAAATTTTCAATTAAGCAGCCATGAACCAAGTATCTACAATGAATCAACCGTACAACAGTGCAATAGAGTGCAAACTTGCAGTGTTAATAAAAAATAAAGCACAAGTAACTTTTTATGTTTGATTTCTTTGCCTTAAGTTAAGTAAAGAGAAAAAAAATCAATTATTCAACCACATTGCGGTATGGTTTTTTCAAACAACTTAATTAAATGTTAAACGTTTCTATTTGGTTGACTTCATAAAAAAATTTCACTTTATTTTACTTAAGTTAAGTGACATTTTAAAGTTTTTCATAAAATGATCTATTCAAATTTAGTTGTGGACGTACGTGTGGTCGTAAACATGCGTCGTTTTTTATTCCTCTTTCTTCGCACCTGGTTGAATGAAATCGAAGTAAGTCAAAGTGACTTAAACGATTTAAGTCAGGTCGCGTGCACATGCGTAAATCGAGCGCAAATAGAAACGTCGCGTACGAGCATTACGAGGTGTGTTAATGATTTAAATGCGTGCGCGATGACATGTGCTTAAAATGCATCCAAACGACGCGAAATTAGCTTATAAATTATTTTTGTCATCAATGTTAACCATGTAAAAATACGAAAGTGAAAATAACTTCAAGTTTTAACCTTTTAACTTGTTTTCACTACAATTGAACAAATATGTAATAAAATACCATTACTTATCATCCAAGAATAGACATAAGAGACATAAATCTTTATAAACATTTAGTGTCGACAATTATAACAAAAAAATTAATTAAACAGTTACTATAAATAGAATATGATACCTAATGAAATAATGAATTCTAATTACAACAGCAATTTCTGTGATTGCAATTGAAATTGAAATCGAGGCAATCACAACGCGGAAACGTCCGTGAACATTAATCAAAATGGCGATAAAACAACAGTAATTTTACACGTGTCGATGCAAGAACATAGCGTATCAAATCAAATCAAACACAAAAAAAACTAGCACATAACGAAATAAAACTAACATCATTAAAGTTAAAAAGAATAAAAATTAAAAAATTATTATTAAAAAAACAGTGTGAAAACGAAATTTTACGTGTTAAAAAAGCTGATATACTGATTGACCCACAGAGTAACAACTACTCAACAAGCTCAACAATCAACTCCACGCTCCAGAGAACGAAAGAAATCAAGAGTACGACATTTCAACAACGAACAAACGAACAAGTAATGAGTAACGAGCCACAACTGCAATGACATAACACATAACATGTATCACGGGCTTCTTTTTATGTGCGTGCATCATAATTGCATTGTAATGGTACCTCATAACCTACAAATATAAAAAATATCTTTATTCTTTAATTTTGTGTTATTTCAACCAATTAAGAGTGAGTTTTTTCACGTTTTGTTCATTTAACTTGTTTGATTTGTGAGTGAAGACAAGAAAAAGCGAAACCTACGCATTATTCCATGGTAATTAGACCAAAACCAAACCAATTCATGAGAAAATATGCAGTGAAAACCGAGAAACAGACAAAATGTTAAATAACACCGTTAAAATATACTTAACCCGTAAAAAACGCATTAATTTGTGTAATCGAACACTAGTTATGTAACAAACACAACTTTTTACCGATAATAAATCAAAATAAACTTCAATTTAGGTATAAATTAAATTCTACTTACAAAAATGGGAACATCCGTTGGTTTTGGCACATAATTCAAATCGATTTTGACATCGCCGCCATCTTTGTCCGTCTCCATAACCTCCATTCGCATTTTGACACCGTTCACCCCATAATACTGCTCCCAGACGCTCGGTTTATCATCGTCCACCTTCAATAAACTCTTCTTTAACCCGTCGCTCCGCGCGCACACATTTTCACCACCGCATGAGTCCGATATAACATCCACCGCGTTTATATCTATACCGGATGCACCACACGCGCTATTCACGTCCGTTACACTGGCTGTCATTTTACTGCCGCGAAGCGCATGCGCATGCACATGTGCACTACCATTTCGACAAAGCGTACCGTAAATCATCGCATTGCGTACTCCATTCGGGACACTTGCAAGGTCATCATGAACAAACATTGGTAACGGTCCAGATGGTAAACCGGAAGTTAGATGATTCAAAAGTTGAGGGTGTTGATTATTTATAACTGTCATTCCGTCCTTGTTAAACATACAATCTGAGAAACCACTGCTGGATGATGATGGCAAATGGTAGATATCTTCGGTTTCCATTGATGATGACCTTGAAGGACCTCGAAGTCTATGTGCGTTCCATTCGGGTGAGCTTTGACTTGAGTTACCACTCGATGAAGAATGACTGAATGCTCTTACAACAGAATCAACTTTTTTCGAATTTCTTAAATTTATACACAACATTCTCATTTCTTCCTCGGTTGCGTTTTTCAACGCATCAATACTATCACTGATTCTTTCATTGACTCTCTTTAACATCTCTTCCGGTGTGAGGACACCTTTACCTTCAATTGTAGCATTCACATGATTCAACAACTCTAACAAAACATCCTTGACTGAAAACTCTGACTTGATACTTTCGGAACGATGTGGATTCATATGCTGGTCGCCATTTTGCATAATTTGACCTTGATGATTACTTAGGGACGTGTACAACAAGACTGCTTCATCTACCAAGGAGTCATATTCTTGATTGGAGGTTGAGGTTCTTTGGTTTATGTTTGGATTCCGGCCAGCAAACTGCGGCCATATTGGACGTGGTATTGTAAAATCAATTTTTCCTTCCGGGATTGTACTCAGAGTACCTGATGATGTCCCACTTGAATGCGTTGATTTGTTTTTCCTTTTTGCTACTTGTATAGATTTTACATAATTTGGATTTTGCTCCAAGACTCCATCAATTTTAGTTTTCATTTCTGTATAGAGCTGATCCTGTTCTGGATGATCACTTGATGAGCTATAGAGGTTAGATCCGCCATAACCGGAACTCGATGATTTTTCACCAGATGGCGTGCTTTGTCTTGACGAACGTCGAATTTTGTAAGTATCCACATATAAAGGATTAATCCTAACACAATATACACATAAAAATATATACAATTAACTTTCGAGGTTATAATTGATTAGGTTAGGTATACTCACCCACGAAACCGTTTATCACTTCGCAGATAAAAGTTTTCCGACCATGCATCCTCCGCTGGTTCGTTGAATTCTTTGCTAAAACCCTGATTTTGATCACTGTTTTGGTCGACAACTTCAGGAAGATGATCGACATTTTTCATTCTGTCCGGTTTTCCGTTTGAGGAAGTGTCACCGCCCGCTTTTAACACAACGCGCGGTAAATATACCGAGCGCTTCATTGCGAACTTGGAGTTTTTTCTTGCAGCGAGTTTTTCTTTCGTTGCGTCGTCGCCGGCGGCCATTTTGGACGCCATCTTGTCTTGCTGCGGGGTGGCGCCATCTGTTGGTTCCTTTCTGCGTTGGCCCATCCATCTCAACATGTTGCTTGCAGCCGTGGAACTCTCCGATGTGGCATTTCATTAATTTTGACAACTGCAAGTAATAAGAAAATAAGACATTTAAAATAAAATATAAATACGACCCTGAAAGGTGTAGTTACACAATAAGTAAAACAATTGATCGCGATAACATTTGTTCGTTAATGATTACCATTTGTTTTCAATTGTTTCAACAATTACTTAACACAGCAATTATTTCAATGTAACTTAACTTAAGTTAACTTAAGAGAATTTTGTATCAATTCGTTCCGCGGAAGGTGCAAAAACGAACAAAATTTAAACAATTGAATACGTTTTAGATTGCAAGTAAGCCGCAGGCAGATACATTGGATTTGCATGTAATTAAAACAATTCGAATCCGGCGATTTAAACATTTAAACTTTTAAAACAATCAAGACTAAATCAAAATCTATAATACAAATAAAAACTTTCTAAAAACCTTCAAAACCTAAATTTAAACAAAACTTTTACAACAAAACAAAAAGTGAAATCATTAAAATTATAGAAACTATAGGTTATGTTCGATTATCAACATACATATTTAAACCGCTGCAATTAATTAAATTTTATAGGTGCGCTCATGAATTGAAGATGGAAAAGCGAAGAAAGTTCCCCGGCAAATTCCTTCATCTTATTAATATTGTTACATAAGTAACAATTCTTAACAGTTTATGCATGCGCATGCGCAAAAAAACAAAAACCACACGCTGTGACGCCATGTTTATTTCCCATCGCTAAGCTTCACAGCGCTCTAAAAAATGCAGCAACAAAAAACAAATGAAAAGAAAAGTACCCGACAGCGACTGTGGGTGAGACTTAAGCCATATTATTATTTGTTATGCACACAACACTCGATTCGAAATGGGATTGTTTCGATACTTCAAATTGCCTCGCATTGCGCACGCACCGCAAGCGAGAAATTATGATAATGCGATCATTTCGTAATCAAACAACAATTTCATCTGTTAGCATGCAGGTACAAAGAAATGCCTAAGTATTATAAGTGACTTAAGTCATGCTTAAATTATTGAAACTAATTTTTGTTGATTTTAGTTCATCTTAAATCATTTTCGGTAAGTTTAGGTAACTTGTGTTAAGTGAGGTTAGGATTAGGTTAAGTAAGCACGATAACTGCGGTGACTTAACATAATCGATTAGTTGTTTGCATTTGAAATTTATTCAACATGCACACGCATTGAGTTTGCACGTTCGACGGCCTGACTGAAGTTGTAAATGTTAGCAAAGTAGGTAATTAATTAGCTAATGAAGTGAATTGTTAAGCAGTTGATTAGGCAAATAAGTTAAATAATTTAAATATTTAGTTTTCGAACTTAAATACCTCTAAAATTCAGTATAAAATAATTTAAATTCAAAACAACACATTTTGTGACTTAAGTACTTTTACTTAACTTAAGTAATACAAATTTACTTTTAATTATTAAAGATTTATTACATTTTAGCAAGCAAAATAATAAATAATAAATTTAAAAAATCCATGTGTACTTAAGTCAATGCCCAACCGACTTAAGTCAGTTTTCAGTTTCTCCTCGCGTTTCGCACGCCACGCGTCGATGTGGCGATAAATCGCAGCGTTAATTAGGCATCAAATCCGCGATTTATAAGGAAAACTCAGCGACGTCGTGCGCACAAATGTGGAAACGTGGAAACATGGAAATAGCATGCACGTCCACGTCCACACCATACCAAAGCGTAGGTTATTTAATATCCTCTTCGCGAGCAGAAATGTAAATTAACGCAATAATTTGTGACGCTTCAGTAGTTACGGGTCAACCGCGCGGCATGTTTTAATTGACATTGACCGAAATGACGAACGCGTCCGTCGCGTTTTTTTATTCTTCTTCGTTTCTTATCCGAGAAGATTTTCTATGGAGAATCATCTTCGAAAAGAAAAAAACAGACAAACAAGCTGTGCTTGCGAGGCAGTACAACTCGTTAGTATGTTCTTCATTTGTTTTTTATTTATAGACATTTTGCATAAAAGTAATAATTCACGCGCAAAGCGTGTCACAAGTCACGACGCTCGCGATCGTAATTAATACGCTGATTATTTATTCGCATGTTTATTTTATCATAGATTTGAGGTGTGAGTGTGTCAACATTCTTACTAAATGTTGTAATTAAACTTAAATACTCGCTACTTAATTTTTTAGACATTTTATCATGACACGCCCATTAAAATAATACCAACTGCATAAAAATTCCCTAGAATATAACTAAAATGTCGGTAATAACCTTAAAAAATATTTTTTTATATTTTTAGAATAAAAATGGTTGTGAAACTTGTTTTGTTATAGAATACTTCGTCAATTTCGAAAGAACAATTAAAATTCTAGACTTCATGTGATGTTTTCTGTTTCGCGCACGTTTGGCTCATTTTGTAACGCATTCTGTTGCATCGCAATGCTTGCGTCGCATTCGGCATTCAAATCAAAATGCACTTCAAGTCAACTTCTAACTCGAGTTAATATTATTATTGACTTATATTGACTTATAAATTGTAAAATATTGAATTCGTACGTGCTCCTATGCATATTCTGCATTTGCAAATGTATTAGATGCATGAATGAATGTTATTAACGACTTATTAAATTCGATTAAAGTCAACATTTTAACGTCTAAATATTGTTTTGCAAAAGCGCGTACGTTGCGAACACCTCAACGTGGTTATTATGTGTCGCATTGTGTTTTCGACGTTTAGATGACATGTTGCAACGACTGCAACAAGTGCAAGTGCAATATCACTGAAAAGATCATAATCACTGTTCTATTCAGCTGTGGAAAACGTGTTGTGTTGACACATTAATTACGCTCGGTCAGCGGAGAATAAAGAAAATACTTAGTTAAAGGTTATGTTTGCAAATACGTTTTGCAATTGAGATTTTACTCCGCCGATCGACAACAATTAGTTATCATGGCAAATTTTTCGAAAATTTCATATTCTAAATTTAATTCATTTAATTGCATCGTAATGCAATGTAATTCAACACGGTGATGCAATTAAGATTAAAAACGAGAGCGCAAAACAATAAAAAGCTGCTTGAGTTAAGAGTTGAAACTATGTTTAGAAGCTGAAAAGTTAAGAAATAAGAAATGCATTCGCAGAACAAAAAAGCAGAGATTAATACAAAGCGATTGAGGCGATTAGCAACAATGAGAAACTTAAATTAAAATGAGTTGCAGTGAGATTTGAACAAAACTTAAATGAACATTTGAAATATCACTTACTGCAGGCGTGCAAGCAATTGTGGTAAGAAATAATTGAATAAAAGAATGGAAATTATACATAAAAAGATACATCGTTTATTGCAATTGCAAAATATCAACTGGATAAACAATTAAATGCTGCATTTATTAATTTAAAGCGTAGAATCACTATTTGTAGATAAATCAAGTAAAAATTAAAAATAACTATACAATATTAAGGTTTACATATGCTGTGAGTTGCTGTAAATGTACCAAACATATGTTAAACACATTAAAAACTAATCTTAGTTAATTTTGTAATCCATTCTTAAGATAATAAAATTTCAATTTAAATTGATGTTTGATTGATTCATGCGCATATGCAATACTTGCAAATTTTATGTTATGGTGTACGAAGAAGAAATTTCTGAATGCATCGCAACATTGTTATTGTCTTAATTACATAATAGCTCTTTCTCCGCGCCGTGCGAAGCGGTTAAATGTTAAGCAGAAGATGCCAGCGCCGCCTTAGATTCGTGGCATTCAATATATCCAATTGGAAAATTTCAAAATTTCAAATTTCACACTTTTACACCTCCAAAATGTAAGTACCGAGTACACACAACTTTGTAACATTCGTATAAGTTCACGATTTTGACATGTTCAAAATATATACAGAGTGTACTCATAAAGTTTATAAAGAAAAAATATATATACCAAACAATACGCAATAAAATGATAATGTAACACTCTGTATGTGACTTGAATGAGGTGCGGTGTATTACCTGAAGCCATCCTAGTTTCTGTAATTCACCAAACCATTTCGTACCAATGTGTTGATGGTTACAAACAGTTTAGGTTTAAATCTTCGAATGTTTAAACAATTCATTATGAAATACATCGTGTCAACGACTGACTCGAAAATCCAAAGTGCCAATGTATCGATTGTTTAGTAATTGTAAGATTTCAAAATCGAAAATTTACGACAATATTAATGACATCAAATTTACAATACGTTAAATATTATCTCATGTCTTAACAAATTGTAAAAACAATTTGTTTTTAATCTCACACAACATAAACTTTAATCTGCAAATCAAATTTAATTAAATTAGTACCTCTTTTATAATTATAATATACGTCATTGTAATTAATATTAGATAATTGTACATTTACGTACGTAGAATAGTATATTAAGTATCAAGTGATTAAACGACGATTATATTTTATTTATTCTACTTCCACCTATAAAACTCTGCTTTTTTCACAGTTTTTAAACACGAAAGGAGGTACGTTATATACGGACTGCCAAACCGTGCGTAATATCCATTATCTACAGGCATTATCTACGGGGCGGAGCTTGCGCCTGCGCATTGGCATTTTATGTGCCTAAACACTTCCAATTTAAAGATGGAAGAAGAAAAACATAATTAATAATATTTGCAACAATAGGAAACTCTACGAAAGTGTTAAAAAGTAATTTGTGCAACAATTTATAAAAGTAGACCTGAATCAATTTGGAATATTTCCACTAATTGTAATCATTATGCAAATGAGAAATATTAAATTATAGATTAAGTGTTTGTAAATAGTAAACTAAAAAATCTAGTGTACTACTACAGCAATTCAAGTCACATTACATCCACTACATTAACTACTTAAGTCAAACAACATTTTCTTCAAGTCTGTCAAGACTATCAACTCGAATATGCACTATCACTATAGTCATGACGTCAAACAAATATTTACGAATTTTTACCAAGTGGATAGATACTATTTATTTCTTGATGAGATACATCGAGATGCTTATACTTATTTGTATTTATGCGTATTGAATCGACTTGTACCTAGTAAAATATGTGCAACAATCCTTGGCATTTTCGACTGAAAAATCTTCGACGCGTGTCGCATAGCAAGTAACTGAAGTAATGGCGACAAATAGTGTGGAGTGAATCTTCGTACCACTTGAAGATGACACGCAGAAAACTTGATAAAGTGTTGTTGAAGTTTTAAAGATTGGACAAAGTTTTAGACCGCATATTCTAACATAATATTTTAAATTAAAAAAGTGATTTTCAATGTTTATTTGTGACGCTTTCATGCAGAAACCACAAAATCAATTTTTTACTATTTGATATAAAAGCAATTGAAAAAAACTCGTGCTGCACCGTACACAAATGCAAAAATTGCCAACTCCACCCCATAACTAAAGCTCGTGACTAAAGTACTTTAATCACGACTTTGGCCGTCCGTGTTCAAAGTACCGTTTTTTGTGTTTGAAAACCGTGAAACCCGGGCGTTTTAAAGGTGGAAGTAAAAAATACATGTTATTCTAAGTATTTATTCATTTAATAATTAATTTAATTATTTAATTAATTGATAAAAAAAACAAAATAAATAATATTTAATGAAATATTTGTACAAATGACATAATACTTTGAATTAAAAATATTATTAACTTCTTACCACTAAAAAAAACATTTAACTGATTTTATAACCAAATTATCTGACATTAAAGCGCATTGAGCGTTCGATTAAGACATTTCGCACTCGTAATAGGTGCACATCGTAAACCTACTGAACTCGATTTCGATCAATTTTGATTTTCGACCATTATCGCTAAATTAATTATTTATAGCGCATTTCATAAATTTACAAAAAATGCAAATTCACAACACATTCCACGAATAAAATAAAAAAGTCATAAAAACTAAAGTGATTAAAATTACATTAAAGTTGAGCAGTTTTCGAAATATTTAGCACAAATATTTGTATAAAAGAGTTTGTAATTTGAAGATTCCTAGAAATGCCTCAACAAATATCGCAATAATCACCATTGTTATATAATAACTCTATTTTTGATGAATTTTGAGGTTAGTTTCAAATTTGGTATAGTTTAATCGTTGGATGTTAATGGACTGATGGCATTTTCATGTATCTAATATATTTTGACAATTGCACAAGATGATGCCTCGTCGGGATGACATAACATAACCTACATCAATAAAAGTTTATTTTTATATTACCACACTTAAGCGCTCATCTCAATAGATAAATAACTAAACAAGATTAAAATGAATGAATATTTGAGCATTGTTTGAAAATTGGTTGGGTATTGTGAGAATCTAGCAAATTGTGGGTAATAATTTATTGTGTGAGTTGACATTTCGCCCGAGTGTGGATAACGCGTTTCGTTTGTTTCTAAGTCGCGTGGCGTCGCATCGAACGCATCGTTGCATTTAACGATGTGCGCTATGATAATGCGTGATTGCGCAACGGATTCCAGCGAAATCTGATACGTGCGACCACATTAGCATCCAGACGTTGCTGTAAAATCTTCAGTCGTAAGAAGACTAATAGCACGGAGAAGAACTGTGCCATTCTTGCTAAGCACAAAACTATTATCTTCTAAATGTTACCGAACGAACAACGACAGAGTGAAAAAGTAGGTGTTCTAGGCAAATGTTTGACATTATATAAAAAGTTTAACATTTTTAATGGTTTTTAACAAAAATTTACACCGCCAAAGGAAATTTTTACTAATTTTAATTATATTTTAACGAAATTTGAAACAAATAGCACAAAATTATGGGTTATGTAGTTTTGGCTGCCTACAAAGCTAAAAATTCAAGAAAATAATGATTTTTTCAAATCTGCGCATCGTTACACGTAAAATTATACTGCATGAAGTGTAAAATAATATTTTACTCTTAATTTTTGATATCTAAATGCGTGCTAATCAAAATTCCGCCCACAATTCACCAAAATCACTTCTATCAATTGTTTAACTTGTCAGTTATTTTAGTCGTGAGTAAATATTCAATCATTACATTGTTTGCGTGTTAACGACAATGAGGAACTCCTCTCACATTAATTATTACAAATTAATAGTTAATAAACTTACAAAACTTGAGAGTACCACACGATTCTCCAAACAGTTTGCGTTTATTTCACAGTTCTCATCGCTAATATTATACACAGTATCTAAACAAGTCGTGTCGATGTCGTGTCGTCGTAATATGCATGTTATTTTAATATTTTACCCAAGAAAGAAGGAAAGCCACCGAGAAAGGTCAACGAACACAAAATCTAACTAAAAATAAAATAAAATTTAATTTGCATTTGTAGCATCTTGATAATCAAGAAAAATTATTACCTAAAATTAGTAATTTATAATGTTGACATTTGAAATTGATTTTAGCTTAATTCAATTATTTATTTTATTATTGCATGCCTCGTACAGGTTTTTGAATGATTGGATGACTCAATAACCAAAGAGGAATGAGGAACAAAGAAATGACAAACAAGAAAAGACTTGCAGAAAGAAAAAAACACAGAACAACACGACAAAAGGATGTAATTTGCGTTTTAAACGCACAAGACGGAATCGTTGAACGGTTTTTATGATGGACGTGTGTCATGTGTCATCAGCATTAACATTTAAACGTGATCTCAATATAAAATAAATTTTTAAATATTCTTAGTTTTACCGTTACTTTTTTTCAAGTGTTTTGACAGTCAATAAACAAAAATTTAATTTTTGGAAATTTTCGATTCCTACTTTTCCGAAAATTTGCATTTTTTAATTGAAAATAAAATTTATTATTATTTTCGTGTATTTGATAGTCAAATTAATTGTTTATTCAATACTTTCATATTTTATTTAGAGATATTTATAGATACCTGCTAGGTGATTATGAATAGATAGTATTTATTTATTTAATAAATTTCATTTGGATATGCAGACATTTCTTGTAACTATTACATGTTACTCACACCTTACAATACCTGTAGACTAGATATCTACAGGTTTACACTCCTTAATGAACCGCTCGCCAACGCCGCACAACCGAGAAGGTAATATCCAATAACCCAGAGCGCTCAAGACTACAACTATTATACAACTGATTAGACAACAACAAAAAAACGAACGAGATAATCATGTGCGACTACACTACCACAATAACTAAATAACTAAACCAAACCGTAAGTGTCAATTTCTACTCTTTCTCTTTCTAAATTACCTACTAGAGTTAATATTATCTAGTCATTCGTTGATTGGTTCATTGGTTGTGGTTGATTATGCTGCACACATTTTTGCACGTATATAAAAATTTTATTGTTTTAATTATTTTATCTGTTGTTAAATGTTTTTAGATGTTGAATTGTGATGATGATGCATGTTGAAGTGGAAGTTGTGAGAGTGCGTGTGTGTCTTTCAGGTGTAAATCGCAGAGGCGTTGTCCGCTTGTGTCATTAAGAAGAAAGTGAAATTATGGCAAATTTCTCGGCATGTCGGCGACGATTGCGCGCGCGCGAGCTGCTGACGAGGTGACGAATGCTACGCTTGTCAATGAGTTAATGTAGTGTTGTTACGTTCAACTAAAGTTTTAACTTTGCGTTGCGATATATTAGTTGTAATCGTCAATTTCATCTAAAATTTGTTGCCACGTTTGAAATATATCTGTTATCACGTTTGAAAAACTGATATTATATGTCTAATTTAAGTAACTTGAAGAATATTTTTTAATACATGATAAAAAATAGAAACATTTAATTTATATTACATATATGTTCCCGTACTGAGTAAAGCGTGAAAAATAAGACGAAGATGATGGTGCATTGTTGATAGATACGTGCGTGGTGCGTGAAAACACACTTTAATAGATTTAAGTAAGTTGCGAATGCGCAGATACACGCACGACTCAAAACGTGCGCGGCACTCGCGCGTCGCGGACTCACGGTGCGTTACTCAATGATTCTAGTATTGACTTAAGGTCAGTTACATAACAGCAACAACGATACCGGTGGTAAAACACTTTAAAATAACCAAAAAAAAGAAAAAGAAAGAAAATTATTGTGTCGGGTAATAATTAAATTAACTAATTCCTACTTACATAATAATAACAAAATTTTAAAATACATTTTTTTACCTTATAAATCAATGCACAGCTTCGGAAATTTTCCCAATTTTCCAATAAACCAAAATTTATTATTAAAATAGAAATAATAATTTAATTAAACCGCACGTATTACAACTTTATTTTATGTCCGATTGTTATTTTAATTTAATTTAGTTATAGTTTTCATATTCACGCGATTTCCACGTTAATGCTTCACGTATAAATATTGCAACTTTTAATTGAACGTGAAAACGCAGCACGCACGCGATTCTTCTTTATTATCTGAAGTTTTTACTTATTTTACTTCTTGCGATTCGTAATTTTTTCCACGCTTAACAATTTCTTACGCTCGCGAGCAAACATAAATCGATTCTTTGCTTCATGGATGCGCCAACCTAATCATTTCTTGTCACTGCCAATTTCTTTTCTTGCTATTAAATAATTTACGCGTAATTACAGCATTTGCATTTTAAATTTTAATGAAAGCGCAGCAAGTGCACACGTTACTTATTTAATACCACTGTTTTTCTTCTAGTTTTTAATTGTTCTGATTTAAAATGTTCACTTACATGAGTTATACTGAGATGATTTAAGGCTTAAGTCACTAGAATTTTTTTGATAATTAAATTTAAGGCACTAAAATTTTAAGTCACTTTCGGTAGATTTTTAAGTGTCTTAAATCAACAGTCAACTGAAAGTAACTTAAATTTAACTGTGCGCGCGGTGCTTGCGGATTGAAACGTGTTTCTTCGCGTTCGCTTCGTGCGCTTTGCTCGTACGTGCGACCGCATCAACCGACCAAACGAAACTGAAAGTGCTCAACTGCTCCGACTCAACGTGCTCAGCTCGATCGACTCCAAGTACTTACTCCGGCAAAAATGGTCAGAAGAGTTGGAGGAGTCGAAGAGCCAATATTATTCAAGTCGGTATAATTTTTCTTTTTAAACATGTATAATTTTCTTGGAGCAGAAAAATGTTTTATATAAGTGAGAATTATTTGTTTTTGGTGACATTGTGGGCGTATTACGAAGTAGAGAGTTCGGGAAATACCAATTACATCAATTACTATAGCGAATATTATTAGCACAGTAGTTCTAATAGAAATAATAGTCATACTTATCTTTAAGTCACATTTATAAGTAGGAGTTCTTCGTTTTTGATTTTAATTTGGCTACTAACTCCCATTATGCAAATTTTCGTAATGTTATGCAAGAAAATAATAATTGAAGGATCATTTACAAATTGGTAAATTGTTAAATTAACGTATCATCAAAATTTGCATCATTTGTGAAGCAAGTAGGTATTTATTCTTAATTGACACAAAATAAATACTTGACAAACGTTTCTTTCAAATGATACGTTAATTTTTGTAAATTTTGCAATATGGTTGCAATTAATACAATTTTCATAATCAAAACTGATAGCAATAAGACATCTAATCGAAAACTAATGAAAAACTAATGAAAAAATAATAAAACAAGCTTGAAAAAGTAATTAAATTTTACAGAATAAAAATGTTTATAGTCATACTTGATTGCTTTCAGTGTTCAATATAATTGTAAAGCAATTTTATGTGCGCAATCAAAATGGCTCATTGTAGATTACACATTGCACATTGCTGATTGCTTATTGCTCATAAGAATCATAAGACTTCGCTTATTACCGCTGTTTACATACTAGTATTAGCAATTACACTGTTAGCTGGTGTTGCTTGTTGTCTTGCGTGGTGTTGACACAGTCACTACTCATAATTGCAACTCACAAGTCGCAGTTTAAGTGTGCGACTTTGTTCATCGAGCAGCGGTGAGATAACGAGTGGCAGTCAGCACTAAACTCGATGAAACAAAACAAATTATAACACTTGCTACACGCTCAGCGTCATTGTAATAATGTCTTGTAAAACGTTGTTAAATTACGTGTTACCAATGGTTAACAACATGACAACAATAAAAGTGGGATAATTGAAGTCTAATTGGGATTTTGGCTTAAATGTCAAGCAGAAAACGGCTAGAACAAAGTGTTTAATTAATTACAATGTTATTTTGTACGTTAGAAATAGGAATAAACATTACTCACCTTTTTTGCAAATTTATTAGTGGATTTGTAATTTTTAGGTTCTATTCTTTTGGTGTTACGTTGGTTGCAGACAGTTTTCACCGTCACGTAAAAAGTGCGAGAAATATACCTCAGATGGCGCTATACGCAAAAATTGTATTTCTGATTTAAAATAAAATTCAGTCACGCTTTTTTTAAGTTAGATACTTTTGGTGTAATGTTGGTTGCGGGACGTTTTTACCGTCAAGTATAAAAGTGCGAAAAATATACTTCAGATGGCGCTGTACGCACAAATTTATTGTATTTGTGAAAAATAAATTAATTGATTTGTCTAAATTAATTTAATTTGTACAGCAACAAAAGTCCGAAGGAAATCCATGACACATTTTATCATTTATTCTTATTCACAACAAGATACAAGCTAAGCACGTGTCCGAATACAATCATTTTATTATTTCATTATTGCATTGTTGATTATTGTTATTTCAACAATTGCCGTCATTTTCGTTACGGGTACCTATTTATTATTACATCAGGCTGCTTGCTACTCGTACTTAACACATTTTAATCTTCATTATTTAATGATTTATGATTTCAGTCAAGTTGATTTTAAACAAAAGACAATCAAACAAAGAAAAAAACATATTTTCCGTTCCGATTATATGACACTGAAAATGTTGATTATTGACAGCTTCGACATGAAGTTATTCATTTGTTTTCAATCACTAATATTACCACTATTTCAAGGAATAAAAGAATCTTCATGCTTCTAACGGTTTTCATGTTCACGCTCATTTTTATCTCCGTTAATAATTAGGCAGCGAATGCAACGCATCAATGCGTCTTGTATTATACGCCATTACACCATTCTAGCGTCTAAGTCATTACTCATTATTGAGCTGAACACTGAACATTGAACAGTTTTATTCTTGAACGTTCAATATTCTTTGTTGTGGCCAATGTTATTCAATAACACTTGAGTACTTTGAGGTATTATTGAAGTCTTCACTTGAGGCTTCTTCTTGGTCGGCTTGGAGGTTTATTTTTCTTCGTGTCTGCACGTACGACACGTAATGAGCAATAAAGGCGCTGGCGCAGTTGTTGAAGCGCGGTGGCACGTACGCGCAAATTGATTATTACGCGGCGTGGATAAATGTTAATTAAATTAAATTATTATACATTTAATAACATAAAACGATGGGATGGTTGGCTGTCTATGGTATATGCCGACGATACGTGCTTCAATGGTTTTGTAATCGGTAAATAATTAATAAGTTAATATTCTTCATAAGAATATTAACAATGTTGTTATTTTTGGTAAAATTTTAGAAAATTATGTTGTTATTACAATAATTGAGATAATAAAGTAAATTATTTATAGATACATCTTTTAATATTGTTTTTAAGTTAATTTTTTAGGTTATTTGGTTGAGGTTACCTTTATGTCAAGGCAATTGCGAATTGTGTTCAATTGGTTGCATAGGTTGGATGCAATGAAATTTTAAGCAAAAGAAAACTTTGATAAAAAACAACTAATCAAGTAAAAATTGATTTGTGAAAAGAATTTGCCTCTTTTTCTTTACATGAATGCAACCAAAATATTATTTAAATTGGTAGTTGTCAAATTAAAAAGCAGCAAATCATCCATGCATGACAAATCTACTCGTACATTGAAATAAATTCTTTATATTCACTTGTTTGTTTATAATACTTGAATTTTCATTGTTTTATGTAAGTCTCATGAACGAATTCGATGTTTAAAATATTCGCATACGCTTGTATGGATTTTTAAAACATTGTTTATTAGATTATTAGTGTCAAATGACTAAATACGTAAAACGACTCGTTGAGCCTCGTGTGTGGCTTTTCATGTTGCGCCGAAATGTCCGCCCAAAAGTTTCCAAACTCCAAAAACCACAAGTGAGCAAAAACAACTTTGATTTCGATTAAATTTGTGTCATTTTCTCACTCCGTACGTACGTGTAGAATGTGTTAACTTTAATTTGAATTTATAAATTAGATTCAGAAGAACATTAGACCAAAAACGTGTAAATGACTCTGCGGTCATTGAAAAGCTACTTAATAGTTTTTATTAGATAAATTATGTAGTACGAAACCTTCGTACACATGTTGGAAAACATTACAACATCTGTTATTACATTGTTATTAACATATTTTAAACGATTTTGTTTATCATTTAACAAATTAACTTTTAAATACAGAAAAAATAAAACGATAGTGTAAAATGAAATCAATATGATGAAAACATAACTTCAAAATGCATTTGAGGTTATTGTATGGCGTATTATGGACTTATTGTATGTTTCAGTTTAAATTATTTTTGGAATTCAGCACAGTGTACTCTTTATTCATAATCAATACGGGTACACTTTTTATTAACATAATTCTCATTGTGCGTTCATTATAGTTTTATAAATTTTAAATGTGTGACTCTTGTTTACAGACGATTACAAAACATTAAAACGTCAATTGGCCTAAATAATAATAATAAACGACAGCGGCAACAAAAAGTATCCTTGGTTTATATTTTCCACTTTTATTTGATATTAATAATACTTTTATTCCATTTGCAACATCACAAAATTATAACATTTATGTAAAACAATAAAATTGTTGATAATTTATAAAAAATATAAAATTCCAAATTTTTTATTATGTAATTTTATATTAATTTATCTATTTAACGATTGCATAGTTAAATAGTGACCAGTAGCCTTAAAATTAAATTATTTATTATTACAACATAAATATTTATGAATATTTGAATGTTTAATAAATGGAAAATTTCAGAGTTTGTGCCTGCGTGAGATTGATGCGTAATTTAAGAAAATTGTTTGTCGTTATTTCAATCTCGTAAATGCGTAAATTTAAACAAATTAATTGAGTGTTAAACATTTTGTCAGCGTTTGTTAAGTGCTTAAAATTAATTGCTTAAAATGACTATGTTTATACATTGTACAACGCATCTGATATCTAATTTGCATATAATTATGGAGTGCTAAAAATATCATAAAAATTAAAAAGTTAAATTCAATGTAAAAAATAACAATTTTATTGTCAAATGCTCAGAAAAACACTAATTAATGACGTGTTGCAGAAATTTAATTACATACAGTCAATATTTTTTTATAATAATTTTTTTTTTAAATTTAAATTTCAGCAAAATATTGACTTATTTTTAAAATATTTTTCTAAAATCTAAAATTGTTTGGAATTAAGTTACAAATTTAATACCTGTTGCTGATTGATATTTAAACCTTCACTCTTGACCGTTTTAGACGCCGCGCCAGCAAAATTACAAAATTAAAATTACAGCGGACAAATAAATGTGTTTTTTTACAAAATGGTTAATCAACCACCTGTTCGCCTCGCCTCGCCACGCAGCCATCTTGTCACACCGTGTGGCAATCACCGGCCGTTACAGCCATTATAAATCTAAACTTTGTTCCCATGCTTCTAATTTTATATTGACAACTCCAAACATGTTGCACATTTGCAAATTTTATTAGTATTTGTACAGCGAATAAAATTTAGTCTAGTTTTTAACTCACCGTAAAATTCATGTGATTTTCGAGCCCTCGTGAAATTTACAGAGAATAGAAGTAAATTAAAATGATTGGCGAAATATTTTTGCAATACTTTTCGAATCAACCATCCAACGATAAAGTACATAACCTTTAAACCTAACCTCTTTAAGAAAGTTTGTTTTACTCTTAAAATTGTTAAAATTTCCGATGTTTTAAATAATACTCTGCTATTAAGGGTGAAAACAAAGTCATAAAATCGAAGATCATAAAAAGGTTTACCTGTTCTTCAATTAAAAATTGTCGTAATACCACCAGCGATGTTTTTTATGTACAATTTCATGTTTAGTGTTGCAAACGTGTATTTAAACGCTGATCCATGTTTTTTCTTCATATTTATCACTCCCAAAAAGCATTTTAATAGTCATATTAATTAGAATAATAACAATTTCCTGTCCACATAACATTTGATGCATTTTTAAACCTTAAAATCATTTTTAAGTGCATTTTAATTTCATATATTCTTCCTTCTTTCAACCACGCAGGTTAAAAGCAATACTTCTATTTTGTTTTTTATGTTTCTTTTTTCATTCAGTTTCTTAATACCTAAACTTTCTGGCTTCCGTGCGAGCGGTGTATGCAAGAACACAAGAACCGTAATCTCATCAATTCACCAGTCATTCAACACTCAACACCCGAGTTCACTGCAGTGCGGTCAAGAGAAATGAAATATGAAAATCATAAAAAATAGCCATTTGATAGACAGACATGCACTGCACTTACGGTTCTTTTTTACTCTACCATCCATCCGACTATCACATTACTTGATTACAAAAACGTCAACAGGACATTCAACATAAAAAGAATATAAATATATTAAAGTGTAGAAGCCGCTGCACTTAATATTCATCTCGATGTGGCATTAATTAATAATTTGTTGGCTTCCCATCAGATGCATCTGCGTGATTGTTTAATAAGTGCATTTACAGTTAGAAAATATTGTGTGGCTAAGTCAAGTGAGAATGAAATGTTTGATGCCTTAAGTTAGGTTGCGCAGATGACTTAAGTTCAGTTATTTCTGAACTGCATTATTACATTACGGGTGGTACAGTTACTTTTTCGGTTAAGATTGTTAAGAGAAAGAGAAAAATGAATAAGTACTTAATTTCGAATTGCATAATGACGCATCAAGTCATCAATCTTGATCCACTGGATCGTTTTTGATGTCAGAATCAAACACGCACACAAATTTTATGGGAATTTAAATTTAAATAAAATAAAATTTAAAAAAATAAACATAAAAAATATTTTAATCTGTAATTGTGTATTCCATACAATATTGTGCTATTAAATAATAAGAAAATGCATGAAATTTAATGACTTAAGTATACGTAAAGTGCATTTTCATGGATAATACGTACTTGCTTAAGTAAATGTGAAATGTAACCGTTCATTCTTGGCTGGCGCCCGAATACCAAGCAAGGTCGTCTCTTAAAACACAAAATACCACCGTAATCCGTAATCACACACACACTTAAGTCACTTTTACGTACGTATACATGCGTTTAACTGAATATTATGACATTCAAAGTTTTGTGTCTGCTTTTTTATTAGTTAATTCATCTGTTTAGTGTCTGCGTCTTTTAATGTGATATTCCTAGTCGTATATAAATTATAAAGCGAAAAAAGAATTAATATGTTAATGTATGCATGCCATAAGTCACAAGTCACAAGCCGGATCATATAAGAATGAGAAATTAATCAAATTCGAAGTATGTGATAGCTGTGTAAATATTGTAGGTGAATTTGATTAAGTTTTTGAATGTTTTGAATATTTTCGAGATGTTTACAAATGCTTTCTAGGTAATTTTAGGTTATAAATTAATTATGTGTGTTTTAGGTTATGTTAAGCATGAATTACTTGATGTAATGTGGAATGTTAACGCCATCTTAGTTTAATTGCGTGAATTAAAGAACAAACATTATTGTAGGTTAATTTTTGGCACTTAACCTTAATTTTATATACTTTTTTACATTTTAAAACATAAATTATTAGTTTTTATCGTGATTTTATCAAATTATAAACATTATAATCCAGATTAATTAATTTCGTATGTTTATTTTATTAATAAATCTGTCCGCCGTTAATTTTTTTCTATAAAGATGATAAATTTGCGACATTTTATTTATGTATTTTTTCTTGGAATCAGCGCCGGCGCCCGGCATTACACAATTCTCGAAACACGAAATAAGTGACAGAGGACTGCGCCAAAACTTACACCAATAAATATGACATGAAACGATCGGCTGCAAAAGCTCTTGAACAAATAACAAATTAACCGCACTTTAAAGCCGCCAAAGATTTTATCACGGCGGCATTACTGTCTTAAAAAGTATAAATCATAACAAAAATTAAAAAAGCAAGGCTTAAAGTGTAATAAATTTCATAACTATCTCCAAATCTACACATTTTTGAAAGACTCAAATTAGTAATGTGTCTAATTCATAAACACAATGATTAATTGATAATTAATTTTTTTATTTTGTTAAAAATTGACAGTTTTAGGTTAAATTATTTGGAAATTAATTTTTAGGCTTTGATTATCAGCTTTTTTTTTCTTTTTGTGTGTTTTATTAATGTGTATTGATTAAATTCATTGTTAAAGACAAATTTAACCCTCACCTAAAAATTCCAACGTGCATTTAGTATAATTTTCATCTTTACGCGTCGATGTGACATGCTCACTACTTATTTGCATAAATACCAAGCGACAAACGGCTGCGACATTCGTAAAAACATAAAACACAGAAATTTATTCTTATTTAAACATCTAAACGTATAAATATATTTTAATTAAATATAATTCAAGGGTCGTTTAGATGATAAATCAATAACTTACTTGATTTAACGATGTCAATCTTTAATAAGTAGATGGCGCTGTAAACGCACTATCAACATAACCTATTTTTAGGATGTTAAAATAAAGATAAAACTTGTTGTTGGTGTTTATTGCTGTAGTTGTTGATAATTATTGGTTTTGTGCATGTTAACATTTAAAATCATTATACTTTAAGTTAATTGTTTTAATTTTTAAAGGTTTTCACAACTTTAAATGCATCCCAACGGATGTGCACAAGGTAGACATACTCTTACAAGTACTTAAATAATTTGTACTTAAAAATATGATTAATTTTGGTTTGTACAAGAAAAAAAAATGAGTTGAAGTCATTTTCGGTTATTTTATTGCTCTTTCTGACATTTTTATAAATCAATATTTTCAAGCGCGAGGACTCGCAAATATCAGACGATCATAAAAATATTATGACTTTGTCTGCTCACTATTAAAATGACTGAAGTTGAGTCAACTCTTCTTTTTCTGAAATTAAAAAAAAATACTTAATTATTATATATTTCTTTGTTAATTATATTGATTTTAGATTTATATATTGTAGGTGTTTGTTTTATTACCACTACTTAGTTATTTTTGTTTTTCTGGTAGATTTTTGGAAGTAGCAAGTCAAATTGGTGATTTCTCGACATGGCGGGCGCACCGGCGCCGAGCGACCACTTTCCTCCTAACCATGACCTACTCCGAGAGTCCGAGCCTGCGAACGCTACCAACGGAACAACGGAATCTGAACGGAACGGACGCACCGCGCACGAACCGAAACTTAAGTCAACGCATGCGGTGCGTATTGCGCCGACGCAACTTATTCAGTGCCTTTATTTAAAGTACTTACTTTATTTTAATAATTTTCACGTTGTAAGTATTTAAAAATTAATGTAAATTACTTTTCTGTTTACACATATTGCGTGCTTTTAATTTTTTAGTTATTTATTACTAAATTGTTAAAAAAATAAAATGTTTTGGTGGTTTAGGTAAAACTTAGGTAGATATTACTTATTTAAAATTTACTTACTTAGAGGTTATTTGTTTTTTAATACGGTATATTATTGATGTGTAGGTTTAATCAAATTAAGGTAATATTATCCTTGATAAAAATAATAAATTATTTTAAAAAGAGTGAAAATTATGAAACAATTTTTAAAAAATCTTTTTTTTTGCATTTTAATCTCCATTAAATTTATTTTTTTATTAAATCATAGTTGACAACTCTAAAAATACATTAAAATATTTCCTCAATTATTTTTTTAATTACCTGAACGTGACATCTGGCACAACACTACAATTACCCTAAATTGTATTTACAAATTATTGAAAACATAAAATGAATCATCCGAAAACACTGTTTTTAATTTATATTACAAAATAAATATTTTACCTGTGATTTAATCATCTTTTTCAATATTGCCGTGCATTCTGTATGATTAAATTAGAATAAAATTAATCTCTAATAATCATAGGCGTTAAAACTAATTACTAAACTACACTCCTGACGCATTCGCAAGCGCTCATTACGCTCACTTCATTAAAACCTATAAAAAAATCGCATTAAAATTCGTTATTACTTTTTTTTCTTTTATCATGCCGACTAAAGCACACATAAATAGATATAATCATAATATAGAGAATAATATCGATAAAATTACACAATTTTTCAATTTACTCAGTAATTTTGTTTGGAACATATTTAAACAACGTAAACGTCGATGAGCATTTTTTACTTGTTGGCAGATGACTTATAAAGTGTTTGTACATGGTAATAAACGTAATAAATGTAATGTGTGCTATAATACACTCGTGTAGCACAATTTATTTTATATTTTATGATGCGGTATGAAGTAGTAACAAGCAATACTTAGGTACAGTACTTATGTGAGTAAGTTGGTGTGCATTAATATTAATATTAAATAGTCAAATGCAAGATGGGAAAAAGATAGAAGATAATTAAGAAGGAGTTAGTAGTGAACATAGAACAAACGTGCTGAACATCCAATTAGGGTTAATCACTTCGTGCGTTAATTACATCTGCATTGCACATCAACTTAAAAAAATTGCAATTCGTAAAAATATTAGACTAATAACTATAGATAATATTAAATATCAGATGTGATCTTATGATTGTATTTTTTTGGTTTATTATGTAATGCTTATTAGAAAAATAAAACAAGTGAATAATGTTTAGTATTTAGAGCGCATGCGCTACTGCCTTGCACCCGACTATCCAAGGAGCATGCGTGACAACTTTAATTATGTCATAACTCACACAATTTTTACTCAAAAATTCTGTTTTTTTTTTTTTAATTGTTTTTAAATATCAATTGTTTTTCTCTAATTTTTAAATAAAATATTTCTAATATATTATAACTATAGATAATATTAAATATCAGATGTGATTTATGATTGTTTTTTTTTAGTTTATTATGTAATGTTTATTAGAAAAGTAAAATAAGTGAATAATGTTTAGTATTTAAATGCGCATGCGCAACTGCCTTACATCCGACCATCCAAGTAGCATGCGTGGTTTACTTAGCGGACTGGGCGGAGTATAAAAACGGAGTATATGCTCAAAAATTATGATTTTTTTATATCTAACTATCTATTGTTTTTGTTTAATTTTAAATCAGAACCTAAATTAAATGTATTTATATAAAATTTTATTGCTTTATATGTATTGAAATGTATGAAATAAAAACAGTAAACGATAAATGCTTTGCTTAAAAATATTTAGGGAGCGGAGTGAAAGTTGCTGCCGAAATAAAAGATATATAGCGGCTGGTGCGACTGCCCGTTCCCCGTGCGACGCGACAACAATACTCGAAACATATTTGTAATAAAAAAACTGCAGAAAAAACAAATTCAAAACCCGCAAGGTATGTTTATGCGCACGTATATTATCTCACTTGTAAACGCTGAAGGCAAGTATGTAGAATACGAGTAAAAAATGATTAAGGAAGAAAAGAAGTACATATTTAGATATTGAAATAAGTCTAATGATAATCCAAACAAGTTTGCGCGAAGCATTCAAGTATAATTTACATTTGGAGAGTAATGTTCAAATATCAATAAGGAAATACTAAAATGTCATCAAATAAACGCTTCGAAAAAGTCGAACCATAATGTAGGTAGGCATCACGCAGATCTAAATTTGAACGATGACTTCATTCGATTTCATTATTTTGCGATTTCTTTTTTTTCTTTTTACAACGTAGGTATAAACCTGGTACTATTAATATTTTTTCTGTAGTCTACTTAATAGGAAACTGACTATTTTGATCTTGATTGCAATAGCAAGAGTGCTGCTTCAATTAATTGTGCCTTCATTAAATATTTTTATGATATACACACAAAAATAACTACACGCGGACTTTTGAACCGATTTTTCTAATTTTTGTCTTCATTTTTGCCACGATCGTCACAGTCCTCTAACTCCTGCTTTATTAGCATCTTATCTCAAATTATATTGAACAGCTTATCTTCATTCATATGCGGTATATTTGCAATCTACAATTTTAATATGCTCGTGGGAAAACGATTTTTAAAGATTTCAGTTAAAATATTTTAAAATTGGGTGTTTTTAACTAATGACCCCATTAGTACTTGGGATTACAAAAATCTGAAAATTGCCCAAATTGATATTGTGCATTTGGTTGCGTAAACATTCATGTAGTGTAAAATGGATTGCATAGATTTCAGAAAGATTAACTTTTTTGTTATAAAATTAAAGTAATAATTAAATTCATTCTAAATCTTTTCAATTTAAAGATGCAATCTTAACAATTTAAAGATGCAATCTTAACAATTGCAGAAAAAAAAATCATGTTTTCCAAATTTCTCTACAATATAATTACGTACATTAAATTTAATTAAAAATACGTTAATTATTTGGACGTTAACAATAAATCTACCAATGCGATGATAAATACTAACGACATTATTATGAGATATATATCGTCATAATGCAACATGACCTTTCTTTGATTTGTTCTTCACTTAAATTCATTATTTCATTAGGTCATTATTGTTTATTGTTTATGTTTACTAACAAGAACAAGACGCACATGATACAGTTCGTTAATTTTCAAGTCACACGACGCATTCACAACCTTCAAAACGAATTTTTCATCTTAGCTAAAGCTACGTTGCAGAAAAAAGAGCGAAACTCTACTAACCATAAACTGAAGTAATTAAAGTACAAAAAATATATAATTTAATAGTTATAGTAAATAAGGTTATGTTTATTTTTCCAGATATAAGCGGTTTTAATATAAAATTAAACCGAATAATTCTTTCGTTTGCTCATTAAAACAATTAATGAGGTTTTTTAATGAGTAATGACATAAAATTAAACAAAATGACATGAAGTGTGTTCGGATCTTTGTGTTCAGCGTTTGGTCTTGAGCGAGACGAGCTTTACGTTTGATCGCGTCCTCCGTGCGAAGATCAAAGTGTTGATGGTGTTGATAATCAGACCGTAACCGACATGAGATGACACTCAACAAAGCTTTAACGCTTTAACGCAAACAAAATACCTCAAACGCAGAAAAAAAATCAAGGAAAAATGATTTAATTCCTTTTATACGTCGATTTTAATTAATGAGGCTTAAGATCTTTATCAATTAATCATTTTATTAACGTCAAACACGAATTATTGAAAGTACATTTTTTCGGAATAGCGATTTTATTATTAATTGAGTGATTGATTTATGCTATTGTGCAATTTGTGCGAAATTCCCAATAATTTTAGAATAACCAGGTCGCCATTTTGTATTTTGACACTTGAAGTGGTGTAACATTGGCGTCAATTATTCGCACAATAGAATCGAACATGAATTATTATTTTGGGTATTAATCAATCAAAGAAATCAAAATCGGGTATTACACACGTGAAAACACGTCGAATACTTTTGTTTGCTGATTGTTACAAATCGTGCACGAATTTTATTTGCAATGTCATTACATAAATGATATTATTTTGTATATAATATAATAGTTTAAAAATCTGCAACCCAATATGCACTAATTTTTCATTTGCAGGTTTTATGTTTGTTTTCATTGCTCAAATGTTGAATTAATATTGATTTATGAATATATGCATAGATTTACACATTTTTATTAGCGTTTAATTGAAATTGACCATTCATATGTGTTTGAATACGGAGTAATCGTAAATGTTAATACAGCAATCTCGGTAATCTTGTCTCACGTTGACTACTACTCATGCTGTTTCCATTCGCTGCTTTTTCGTTATTTGTTGTTCTGTGCATGCGGGCACAAGAAGGTAAGAAGGTAAAATGTAAGGTCCGGAACGTTTTCAGACCGTAACGACACGAGGATGTTGTAATCTCATCTGTTAAAGCGCCGAGATGCCTGAGAATTCAATAGCATACAACGTTAAATGCTCGGAAAAAATTAAAAACAGCTTAAAGCTTAGGTTAAACACCAAACAAAGATTAAGTTAAGTTGAAGGAGCACCTAAATAAATAACACTATATAGTTGTTTATTTACAGTGTGTTTAATTGCCGATTTTGAATCAAAAATTAAAAATTTATTTTTAAAATGTATGCAAACCAATTTACACAACAGTCATATTTATGCAACCCAATATACAATATAATTTTTAACAATATTATAATTTTAATAGTATTTAGCAAATGTCATTAATGAAAACACTCAATTTATAACTATTTAAACTGAAATCCTTAATTTGAATGTTT